TTTCTTTGTTACTAAACCTAAATTAAATTATAATTAAAAAAATTTAATTAAGGAAATTACACCAAAACACAAGAACTTTTAATAAGATTAATTTGATAATGATATCGAATTATTTTTTTGTCAAAACTTTATAATATTTTCAAATTTATATTTTATTCAAAAATAAAAACATTATTGTTTTCTCAAAACCACATAAAACCGTATTATATCGACATATAAAGAAATAAAACGAAACATTGAAATCAAGATGTGTCTCGCTGCATTGCACGGATACCCTTATAATATGATTAATTTATTTAGGTTGAAATTTGTTGAATCTTAATTTGATATGGATTTCATATATTTATTTTAAGAAAAAACCTCAAAAAATTTCTCTTGGATTGAGGAAATAATTTTTATAGATTCTTTTGGCTTCCAAAAATAAAGTTTTTAAAATAAAATTTTGAAAGTTGATTTTTTCAAAATATGAATTAATTGGTTTCATTACAATTAAAGAATAACTTGACTTCAACTAAATAAAAATAAAGTTAAATATATATATATAAAAGAGTGATCAAATACAAACCATCATCTTTTATGCAAACCCTATAAACCAATTACATCTATCCATTTTCTTGATCAATGATCATGATTAAAATATGTTATATTAATAAAGTAAAAAATAAAATAAAAGGTTTAATATTTAATCAAGAAATAGCAAAATTAGCAAACCATTTTAACTTTCAGCCATATTGTATTAGAAAAACAAATCATTGTTTCATTGACTTTCCTTCCATTGATATATTTGACATATCATGTTCCTAAAAAACATCTTTTTACAAACAACTTGGCAAAATATATTATTTGGGATTGGACTGGTTGATAAAACAGATTGATGTAATCTGAAACATGTTTCATACCAATCTAAAACTTGTTTCATACTAGTCTGATTCATAATGAGAATACATCAACAGTGAAATTAGTTTCATTGTTCGTCTGTATAATGAAATTTGAACCAAATATGGTCCAGTCAATGGAACATTTCCCAAAAATCTGAATAATATGTTTTGTTAATGAATTTCGTTTCATCATTGAAATTAGTTTCATGGACTCCACAATTCCAAAAACTGAATGACATTGTTCCAGCAGTGAAATTTGTTGAAATGTTTCCTAACCAAAATGGAATCGGTTTCATGGTTTCTAACCAAGATGAACTCGGTTTTACATATGAAACTAAATATTGTTTGGTCAATGAAACACTTCAAGAACTGAATAATAATATTTCATTCAATTTTAATTTGTTTCATGTTTTTAACCAAAATGGAATCAGTTTCATGGTTTATAGCCAAGATGAAATTGGTTTTATTAATGAAACCAAATATGTTCGGTCAATAAAACATTTCAATATTTGAATACTATTATTTCATTAATGAAAGGAGTTTCATGGTTCCTAACCAAAATGAAATTTGTTTCATTTTTTAAACATTTTAAAAACTGTATAACATGGTTTCATTAATGACATTTGTTTTATGAATGATAACAAAACAATATACTCAAAATCTAGAAAATATCACAAATATATTATTAATAAATCAATAACTACTTGTGATTTCATAAGAAATAAATTATTACAAATAGACTTTGTAGTTAATGTAGTATTTTTAAATCAATAAAAGAATATAAAATATTAATGATA